TTCATCAAGTGGCTCCCCTTAATTTATATTAGGTCTTCGTATTGGCAGGTGTTGCTAAGATATTCCTCTTGAATCTTTTTTTTTTTTTTTTAAAGATTTTTATTTATTTATTTGAGACAGAGAGAATGAGAGAGAGAGAGAGCACATGAGAGGGGGGAGGGTCAGAGGCAGAAGCAGGCTCCCAAGGAGCAGGGAGCCCGATGCGGGACTCGATCCAGGGACTCCAGGATCACGACCTGAGCCGAAGGCAGTCGCTCAACCAACTGAGCCACCCAGGCGCCCCCTCTTGAATCTTAATAGGCAGATGTATCTGTTAATCTAGTTCTCCTTGCAGAGCTTAATGAGATGTTCTCAGCTAATAAGATTCCATTCTCAGGCCAAGATGACTCTTACTCTTGGTACTGTGGAAAAAATACTGGCTTTATTGTCATACTTAAATGGATTTCTTTCTTTTTAAAAAAGATTTATTTATTTGAGAGAGAGAGCGTGTGTGTGCAGGGGGAGAGAGAGGTCAAGGGAGAGAGGAGCCTGGGCAGGCTCCATGCTGAGTGTGGAGCCTGATGCAGGGCTCGATCTCACGACCCTGAGATCACGACCTGAGCCAAAACCAAGAGTCGGACACTTAACCAACTGTGCCACCCAGGTGCCCCATACTTAAATGGATTTCATACCATCACTTTCTTTGCTCTGAGTATAACATGGCTAGGGTTTTATATAAGTTTTCTGTCTCCTAGGGTCTGTGGTCTGGGGGTTTAAGAGTTACATGCACCAAATCATCTATCAGGATCTAGCGAAGGTTTAATGTGGTATTCTGTTGCTGGGCAACATTTTAGTGGCTGCCCATATAGTGTTTCACTGTAGGTAAATCTCCCTGTAAACCCTTAAGTGGGTTTGAACAGTTTGAGTCCCTATTTTCCTACTTAGCTGGCTTGTCTCAGCCTTTGTCACCATCTAACTTGTGCCCTGAAGTCAGGTCCTCTGAATCACACCAGTCCCTTTGCAACCTTTATTGGCAGAGCTGAAAAATGTCTAATCCATAACCTCAGTCAAACTGATTCATTGTGACAGCTGGTTTCACAAACCTCGTGCTGTATCAGGTAGGGCTAAGATCGTTTTTCTAGAGTATGTCATTTTATTAATATAATTGAATAAAGCAGTTACCATATGACTTGCTTTTTATGCCCTATAAATTAGCAATTAAGGATAATTACCACAACCATGAAAGTTTGCAACATGAATCAGTACAGCTTTGGCAGAACAATTATCCATGACAGTTTCCTCTCAATCTTAACATTATTCTTCTGAAATTAAAATTCTGATAAACAGTATATTTTATTTACATATGTTTATTATTTGTCTCCTCCTACTAGAATGTCAGCTCTCTAAGAGTAGATATTTTTGTCTGTTTTATTTCACTGAGTATGTCACTTGCCTAGAACAATACCTGGCACATAGTAGGTACTCAGATTTGCATTGATTTAATAAATGAATAAATGACTCAATGAATAAAATTATAAAAGTTATCCACTTAGATGTCAGGTCATTCAGAGGAGAAAAATGATTTGTTTTGGTGCTATAAGGAGATACAAGTTAAATTTGATACATAAACCCTTGGTCTTTTTCATTTTTAACGACCCTTTAAGTATTTTTTCTCACCAGAAGCTGTTTCTCCTTGGCTTTATTTGGTGACGAACCTTGGATAAGAGAAGACCATTAAAATATTTTTATCGAGGGGGCACCTGGGTGGCTCAGTCAGTTAAGTGTCTTAACTCTTGATTTCGGCTCAGGTCATGATCTCAGTGTTGTGAGATTGGGCCCTGCATTGGGCTTCATGCTGGGTGCGGATCCTGCTTGGGATTCTCTCTCTTTCCCTTTGCCCCTCCTCCCCTCCCCCATGTCACCCTCTGGTGCCCCTCCCCCACACCCCGCTTTCTCTCGCTAAAAACAATTTGTTTTTAATTGAGGAAAAACTTGAATAAAGATTATTGGCAAATAAGGCAGGTGGAAGGAGTTCAACAATCCTTAGAAGCTGCAATGGAGATAGTTCAACACACACTATATCTCCTTTATGCTATTTCAGTTCCTATAAATAGTAGGAAGGACACTAGTTCTTCTCTTATAGATAGGTCTCTTCTTTCTTAATGGTTTGCAGACGCAGTCTTTTCCTGCTTTTCCACTAAGGCTGTGGCTGAATGAGGGGGAGCGAGTTTCACAGGAAAGATGTACATGTGTCAGTCCTTTCCTCCTGGGGGACTAGGAATGGCAATGCCTGCCATGGTGAGCATCTATTCTTGTTGCTTAGGAGGTTGAATTGGTGCCTGCTACCTGAATTTGTATACTCAGTAGTATAAAAGGTGTCAAGCAACCTGTAAAGTAAGTCCTCTCTCTCTAATATTAATCCAGGCATTGACTGTTGTCTGAATGGCATATTTGGTGCAATAATGTGGAGATGTTCTGACAGCAATCTTCAGAATAGCATTTACGGGGAGGGGAGGGAGGTACAGAGGAAGTTTTGCAAAATTCCTATGCACAAGTTGTTTGCCAAAGCCCTTTATGGGGCCAGGGTAATAGTTATAGACCCATTGCCCCCCAGGGATCTAGTTTACTAGGTAGAGGCATTAGAGGTAGCACCTTTCTGATATTTAGGGACAAAGGGGATTCTTCTCATCACTCATTCTGTTCTTGAGCTTTTCAGTGTTTTGTTTTGTTTTTTTTTGGTCAGACTTGAAATAAGGATTTTTTTTTTTCCTAGCCTGGGTCAGTGCTTACTCATCAGAGTTTACCTTGATCAGCTAAGGTGGATTTTCTTGTAAATGGACCTTAGCTTTCCCCCCTGAGAAGTACTGGGTCTCCTGGGAGTGCTTTATTACTTTTTGTGAAAGGTTGACTACAACTGAGGATCAGGCACTGGGGACAGATGCTCTGTCTGGTTTATATGCTGTATGTAGCTTGGCTCTCCTCAGCCCCATTCGGAACTTGTGCGTGAATGATTTCAAGCGCAGGTATTCTATAATATGCTATTCTTGCTTCTGCTGCTTGTGAAGACTTGACTATAAATGAATCTGATCCAAGCTCTTTTCCTTTACATCCTTTGGCGCTTCTCATTTCAGGAACACCAAGCATCCGGTGTTCTAGTATATCTGTTCTTTCCCGGCTTCACCTTGAAAGCTTGTCTTTTTAGAATGTCAGTTCCTAGGGATGATGCCCAGGGCATGGGTTCTCAAGAGAGGCAGTTAGAAAGGCTGTTTGGTTGGAAACTATAGAGTTTAATTGCTGGTATCACTTGATCAGAAAGGGTATAAATGAAGAGCATGACCTTAACTAGATAAGAAAGACTGTCTTTTATTATATGTTGTCCTGGTGTAGCCAGAGAAGAGCCATTTAGACCACGGTCTGTGTGTTTAAAGTATTGAGGGTACTGAGACATTAATCAGAGCACTATCTTTTTTTAAATTGGAATGTGTATATTTGTTGGACATTTCTGTAAAAGTTAGTAGGATGGATAAATGAATTGTTCATACAATGAAATATACAGCCATGAAAGTGAATAAACAAGTGTTTTACATCAACACGGATGGGTTTCACCAAGAAAAACAAAACAAAAGGCAAACAAAGCAGGTTACATATGGGCACACACAGTAGACTCAATTTATATAGGGTTCAGAAATAGGAAAAATGAAACCATATTGTGTAGAGATGTATACATAGATGGGAAAACTGTACAGGAAGGCAAGGGAGGGCTTGTCATAATGGTGGCAGGGGAAGGGGCTACAAGTAGAGTGGGGCACAGAGGGGAGCTTAGGTTCCAGCTGTGTTCCTAGTCCTTCACTTGGGTGCTGGTTAGTCAGTTCTTTGCTTATTTTTTAATGTGTATGTATGTGTTTAAATGTGCTTCTGTATTTATATTAATATTTTCACAATTTAAAGCATTAATTAAAGTGGAGAGGTGAAGGAGAAATATCAGCTAAGCAAATGTATCCAGTAGTGCCTGCCTTTCCAAGCATCATTCCTTTACAGAGAACTCCATGGTATTGTCTACTACAGGGCTCTGTGTTGGCAGAACTCTCCAGCTTTCCATCTACTAATTTTTCAGCAGCTATTTCTTGTTTTGAAGCGTGAGATTGGGAGTTTTTCAGAGCCCGTGCTTGAGCCCATCTGTTCATTAAATTGTGCCTTGCTGAGCGAAAACAACTTGAATAGCTTGGGTGACGTTTGTCATTTTTTTCTCTACGTCTTTTCTTCTCTTCTCCCACTTGAAATCCTCCCTTCTTCTCCCCTGCAAATATTTTAAGTTAGATCCCAGTGAGCTTCAGAGCTCTTTTGCAAGTGGCTTCTATGCCTGGTGCCTTTGATTAGAGAGATAAAAGGAGCTACTGTGCTTGGGGACTGTAAGATGCCTCTTCGATTTTTCTGTTATAATCCTGGAGAGCATGGACTTTCTAGATCACTTCATATGTCTCCCTTACTCTAGACTGAGCACTGTCTGCAACGGAAGTGTAGCACTGGGCATACTCAGCTCCTTGCAGATGGAGTGTAAAGGCTTCTTCCTTCAGCTTCCCTTTTTCTTAGGTCTTACATTGCTTGCTTCCATCCTAGAATGGGATGTGTGGATGGGGAGATATTAACTTCTTAATAATTGACAAGAACGTGGTGGTGCTCGCTGGATGAAATTACAAAGGTCATTCATCTCCATGTCTCACATGCCTCTTTATCCCGAACAGTCTATTTATTTTATGACTTTTCTGTTGTTTGTTTAATTCCTACTTCTATTTCTGGGTCTGTTCTTTGAGAAGCTAGCCCGATGTTTCTGTAGGTGTTTCTCTTATGAAATTAAAAACGATCCCATTCATTTAGTCATTCAACAGTCATTCCACAAATATTTGAACGCCTCCAGGGAGCCAAGTACTGTTCGAGATGTTGGGATACAGTAAGTGAACAACTTCTGTTATGTTCTTCTTACCTCTAGACAACTAATTTTCTCTTTTTCTCCCTCTCCGTAGGTCCTCTCAGGCTGTGCCATCATTGTCAGAGGGCAGCCTCGTGGTGGGCCTCCCCCCGAGAGGCAGATCAACCTTAGCAACATCCGAGCTGGAAATCTTGCCCGCCGGGCAGCTGCAACTCAACCTGATGCAAAAGATACCCCGGATGAGGTAGGTGCTTCCAGAGGCTTCTCTGAGGCTGTGGACCCAGGTTATAGCCCAGTCTCCTTGACTGATGCAAGTTTTGTAATCTTTTCCTGTATATTTTGAGTATTATTTTTGTATCATAGGAATGATGACTCTGGACATACCTACCATGGCTTGCATAGGTTTACACATTCACACATTCACCCCATTAGCAGTAATCCCAGTCTCCAGCCCTTTTCTCCTACCTTTTCCCACAAGCTTGGAGCCTCTTCAGGTTTGTCCATGTTTTCACTCCTTCTCTTGGCCTAGGATGGAATATTTCCTAGGTTGTCTCAGTCATTTGAGGTTGCCATTGGTTATGGCAGAGTTCTTTTATTAATTTATGTTTGAATTCTTCATGTTCAAAATTCAGAAGGAGAGAGAGTGAAAAATCTAGTTCTCCCCAGGGACTACTGATGTTGTTATTGGGTTGTATCTCCTTCCAGAGGTATTTATCACCTTCCCAAGCAGACACTCTTCCCTTCATAAATATAGCATACTGCCTGCTGTGCTTTATTACAGATTCTTAATCTTGGATCCATGAACCCCTAAAGGCATCTGTGAATCCCCTGAAGTTGTTTGCAAAGTTTTGTGTAAACATACATTGTTAAAGGAGGGAGTTTTTAATTGGTTTCTCAAGGCAGCTTGTGGCTCAATAGTCAAGAACCATTGTGTTGTGGTGATTTGAGAGACTTCTGACCTTGTGTCCCAGCATCCCCTCCATTGCCCTGTTTCCTTACCTCTAGCGCCTGCCCACCTTGCTGTCTTTGTGGTCTGCCTTGGACTCCTTCAGTTCTTTCATCTCCTAGCAACTGCTGTGAGTCCAAATTTGGCATTGTTTAGTCTTCTTGGCTCCCATACTTTGAAACCTCAGTTCTTGTCTCTTCTTAAGTAGTGCTCAGCTATCATCAAAAGTGAAATTTCTGGATTCTAATTATTTGTCCCCAACTTGATGATAATTGGGCAAGTTTGGTACCTCAGCTTTCCTCTGCTATTCCCTGACGTGGAAGTGAAGAAGAAAACGCAACTCATGGGGCTCTTCTGTTTAAGGAAAACGTGTAGTTCTTAAAAAATCTATAATAAAGGGGCATTTTGTTTGAATTACAGTAATGAAGCAGTAGTCTAGAAAATGGAGAAAAGTCCCCTGTAATTCTGTCAGCAGCAATCCAGTTAGATTCTTGGGATGATGACAAAATAGGCCAAAGAAATTCTTTTTCATTGGTCCTCCGTCAGTGACCACAAGTATTGGGAATAGTGATAGTGTAGACATTGGGGTTGTTTAGTAAGGTTGAAACAAGATCATGTCAAATGCTTAGCACGTGTCTAAAAAGTACTTGATAAATGTTACTTATATTCTCTACTGCCATTTGTTAATTTCTCTTACTATAAATACTCCTAGTACTGTTAGACCAGGCCCTGAAGATTAACTCTCTCACAGCACTTTTCAGATTTTGAGTCCTAAGTGCGTTTCTTGACCAACATTTGGATTAGTTCTTTTCCTTTCAGTTGTGTGTTGTGTAACAGCTCGAGTGCTCATGAGAGGAGAAGCGTTGACCCTGGCTGGCTAGGCCTGATTAAGTTCATTGCCCCAGAAGAAAGATGCAATGTAGCCTCTAAGAAAGAAGGGTTGGGTTTTAATTTCCTGTTTTGTGGATGGGAATCTAGGGCGGAGGAACACAAGGCCAGTTGGAACTCGTTCTAAAATATTTGAACTGTATCCTATATAACAGTACAGTAAAATCTTACAGGAACTATCCTAGCTGAGAGAATACTACGTGATCTGATCCTAGCCCTTGTTCTAGTTTCATGTATTTGTACAGTGTGGTGCTTTTTTGTTTTCTCTTCCAAAGCAACTCCGTCTCCTTATGTTTCTCCTGGTAACTCTTCAAAGGTCCTGGAGACGTGAAGTATTTGATGGCTACAGATTTCATCCTTTCTCAGCCACAGTCACTACTCTGTCCTGATAATCTAGTCTCTCCTTTCCCTGCTGTTATCTGGTATCTCGCCCCCCCCCCCCCCCGCTTTTGAAGCTGCTTTGGCTCAAGTGACCAGTGATGCCAACTGGTAGCCCAAATCAGAAACCCGATTTCCTTTGCTCTTCCCTTCCCCTGTGACATCCAGGCCTTTATCAAGACCTAGAGAGTCTGTTTCCTTTAAGAGATCTCTTCTCCATCCTTGAAACTTCATTACTACTCCTATTTTTCTTTGTTCCACTCCGGTGGTGTGCTAGGAATGCTGAAATAATGGTCCTTCTGCCTTCATTCTCCTCCCCTCTAATCCTTTCTCCATATGTTCCCAGATCTTTTTGAAACAAAATTTCATTCATTGCCTTGCTCAGTGTTATTCCCACATTCATTCCGTGTTTATGTCTTTCTCTACTACATTGTAAGCTCTTTGAGGGGTGGGACCTTATCTCACATCTCTGTTCTTGAGCCTAGTCAGTGCTTGACATGAAACAGATAAACAGTGAATAAACATGTGAATAATGAGGGTAAAAAACCTGAGCATCTCCTTTTTGGGGATCAGTGGATTGTGGAATGTGGCATTACCCTTTCTCTCTGGTTTTCCTTTGTTTTGGAGCATGTTGTCTATTTTTTTCACATTCAGTTGGAGTCAAGGATGACATTGCTCATTTGCTTCCCTTTGTATCACTGTCCCAAATATCATTTGGTTGTTTATTCTCTGCCTTCACTCTTGATACCGTCTTTCAAAGGAGCTCAGCTCTCTCCTAAGTCCTGTGGCAGTAAAAGCAGCTCCACTGTATGTCCCTAGCCATCACTGCCCTGTTCCAGGCTAATCCCCAGTGTTGCCTAGCTACTTAGGCAGCCTAGATACTGCATTGATGGGCACTGTGGGAATTATATACTTATTACCCACATATTTACTGAGTTCCTGTTATGTGTGAAGCTGTATGTTGGTTTCATGAGAAATCCAGAAATGAATGTTATAGTCCTACATTCAGTGGAGCACTTGAGAATTAGGATGGTGGGGTGGTGGGGCAGAGAGGAATTGGTTACATACACATGGGATACCATGGGTGGGGTGATGAGAAGGTGGGATAAGAAGTATTGAGCACTGGGCCATGGACAAAAGTAGCTAGCTTTAAGGATTACATACACTGTTCAGTAGTGGAGGAGTCTACCTGGTTCAAAGAAAAGATTGGAATTAAAAAACTCATTTCCTTGTGGTAGACCTTAGACCTTGCTTGAGGCAGGGAGCAGAGTGCAAGCTGCTAGGTTGCATGCTGTTGAACATTCTAAAAGGAAGAGGTAATTTTGAGTCTCAACTACTGAACAGCCATTTGCTTCTTAGATTGAGCTCTGGGACATCATGAACAGACCACAGCTGTCCTTCCTGTGAGGCCATTCTGGAGCTTATTTGATAAATGCTCTGGGCAGTTTTCCCTATACTTGATTCCTAGAGTTGTTCTGGGAGGCTTTGTTGGGATAGCCTTCTCCAGCAGTTAGCTGTCTGCCGGCTGTCCTCTGTATGGACACTTGCACAAAGATTTGTCCTGGAGTGCTCTCTTGGCCTAGTGAGGAGTGTTGTGGTCAGTTGCTTCCATGGGTCCCTCAGTTGCCTCTCTTCATAGCTAAAGTCTTGTGTAGTTTGTGAATTTGCCCAACTCTGGGTGGAACACAACTTGAGAAGACTGGTTTAAAAAAAGCGAGGTACAGAAATTAGGTTATTTTTTCTTATAGGATTAGGTATATGTTCTTTCCAAGACCTCCAGTGTGGCTTTCTGTTATTGCCCAGTGACTTATCAGTTGTAAAATATGAGGTCCTAAGGGTGAAGAGAAGGGTGCTCCTTCAAGTCTTAAAAGCTTTTAGTAATTTTCTCTAGTTGGTAGAAATTGCACATTTCCCCATAGGTGCTAGATAGTTCCTTGTGAACTGACCCTTGATAATGAGTTTTTACCAAAGTCTTTTAGGAGTACTTGTTTTGTCAGAGCTTTTCCAAGTATTTAGGAAAACCGTGTGTTACTGAATTTTAGATATTAGTGTGACCTCAAAACAATACTAAACATTACATCTGTAGCTGAGGATGTTTTTAGAGTTAAGTGGATCACTAAGGTAATAAAAATGGAGGAGGCTGTGTTAGTTTGTTCAGTACGGTTTTTGTGATGTGGTTGATAATTGGGCTCATTTTTCAATTACAAGACTCTTTTTGGTGACTGGTGGCTGTTTTCATTTTTTGGGGGGTGGAGCAAGGGGTGGAAATGGGACATGAAAATATGATGAACTTTATATGACCATTGAGTGATTGACTCTTTTGTTTGGGTGCTTTGAGGAAAGAGCATTAGATGAATGAGGATAAGCTTGTTTTTGTGTCTTTGAGAGAGCTTACACAGGATCAGTTCTTCCTAGAAGCATTCCCAACTGATGTTATGTAACAGTGCTAGTTTTGTGAATACTGGCCCAACGGCTTGGTGGACTGCCATCTTTTGATTGGCTTCTGGTTTCTGAGAACTCATATGGATGTTTTTCTTTTAGAAAAGCTTATTGGATAGCCCCATGGAATAATCTTAATGGTCTGAAAAGGTTAGCAGAGGCTTCCTTTCCAGACCAGTGATAAACCGTTTGCCTTACTCTGTGTAGCCCGAGCTCTGTGGCTCTGGGCAATTGTAGTAGACAACACATGCATATCCTGTACACGCTTCCCTTTTGTACTTCGCATTTTTTCTGCGCATGAAGTCCTGCAGATCCTATATTCCTTGAACTTTTACCCCCTCCTTCCTCATTTCTGTTCTGAGGGAACTTGGGGGCACTGAGCTAGGTCTAGACTGTAAATTCAAGTGCAGGTGGCTCTGACTGACAGGACTATTTCAGAGACCTCTCCCTTTGTACCATCCTAGAAGTGATGGGGTGGGGATCTGGAGATCACGTGGAGACTTTGCATTTTGTGGATGTGTGGCTCACCCCTTATGTCAGGGCCTTAGATGGGTGGAGGGAAGAACTACCGTTTTCAAGATAACTCCTTACTAGGGACCTGGGTCCCATTGGTGCAGCCTCAGACGAGAGCAGGAAAAGGAGACATTTTAGGGAGAATAGTTCTTGCCCTTCTCAACTCTGCTGTTCTTAAAAAAGGTGGGGGAAATGATATAAGCAAGGCTCTTACTTGAGCAGAAGACTCACTCTGAAATAAGAGCACTAGAACCTTGCCTTTACTCTGACAGTGCCTCGAACTGGTTTCAGGCTAGTTTAATAATCAGTGAAAGCACTTTGTAAACTGGAAAGAGGCAAACAAATGGAGGTGGTAGTTACTTACGTTTTCCCTTTGACTAGGTGAGTTCCTGGAGCCCATTCAGGAGTGGGTTGATAAATAAATATGAAGCATTTAGAAAGTAGTGGCTGGCTCATGGCAAGTGCTGTAAAATTACTGGCAGTTATTATTCATGAAGTAAACTATGGCTCTGAAAGTACTGCTGCCAGTATCTGGGCCACTCTGAGGCCTGTTTCTAGGGCCTGGGCTAGTTAAACCAACTGCTGGATCCTCCTTTTTTAAAGATCTTATTTATTTGAGAGAGAGAGAGCGCGAGCAACATGAACGGGGGAGGGGCAGAGGGAGAGGCAGACTCCTCGTAGAGCTGGGAGCCTGATGCGGGGCTCGATCCCAGGACCCCTGGGAACTAGGCGGTTCTCACGTGACACATTTGTTTTGTCTTTCAGCCCTGGGCATTTCCTGCCCGAGAGTTCCTTCGGAAGAAGCTGATTGGGAAGGAAGTCTGTTTCACGATAGAAAACAAGACTCCTCAGGGGCGAGAGTATGGCATGATCTACCTTGGAAAAGGTGAGTTAGCAAGGGAAAAGGACTTACTTCCCTCAGAGTCTAAAGTTTCTCCGAAGATCAGATTTTATCTGGTGGAAGGCCAGTGTGCGTTCTGGTGGAGGACAATTGGCTGTAGGTGTAATTGGAAGTCCTTTGAGTACCCGAGCTCATGGTGCATAGGTGCTCCTGGTGCAGGGCCCCCGATTCCTGCTCCTTGTTTACTCCTGTGCCTGCTTTGCTGGCCTGGGTTAGGTGTGCATAGTACCCTGTAGCATTCTTCCTTATATTTAGACCATCAGCCTGTGGAACTCAGTGGCTCTGTGCTTCTAGGTCATAGTGCTAATTGAATTCCTGTAGATTTCCTATTGCATCTTCTATTTCCTTTATCAGTCTTTTGGCTTTTCTTCTCCTGGGGCTTTTTAGGAAAGGAAGAGTTGTTTAGGGCTTGTGGGTTTTGGCAAGCCACATGTTTTGGAATGGAATGGAAAGAACACAGGCTTTGGAGTTGTGTAGATGTGGGTTAGAATTCTGGCTTCTGTTACCATGTACTCTTCTTTAACTCTTAGCCTTTGTAAGTCCTAGTTTTTTCATTTGTAAGCTATTGAGAGAGTTGAAAGAGATAGAATGTGTAAAGCACTTGGCTCTGGCACAGAGTATGTACTCAGTAATTGTGTGTGCACGTGCACATATGCCTGTTGTTTAGCTGGGCCAGGTGGCTCATGGGGTGTTAGGTGTTCTGATCTTTTTTTGGATTAGGTACAGGGAGAGAATAAGATTGTGGAATGGAGTTTGAACAGAAATAGGACATTGAAAGGATTGATAGGTTGTTCATAAAGCAGCCATTTTGGGAGTTATTTTGGGAGTGGGTATTTTTTTTTTTAATCTATTAAATTCTGTGATTCTTTGATAAAATAACTTTCCAACGGAGCTGCTTTAGATAATTTTTTGACTTGGGTAGTCAGTAAGCTGGAAGTAAGCAAGCAGCTAACAACATCCTCTTAAGATTATGATTAAAAAAAAAAAAAAGATTCTGATTTTAACTGTAGAGGTCTTAGGAAAGTGAGTTGGATGACTCCAGGGTGACCCAGGAGGAGTCTCATTTGATTTACCCAGTAGACAAACGCCCTTTTCAGCCTCCCAGACAGATGGCTATCTCCTTCTTGATTGAATGGGGAATTATAGAAATATATAGAATCTTTTCAGAAAAAGAAACAAATTTGCCTTTTACCCAGAATTCAAATAATAACAGTAGGAGATAAAACACTTAGGCATTATTGTTAGATGGCTCCTGGTTAGAAAGAATAGAAGCACATGGTCTTCAGAATGCAGTCACTCAAGGATTTTATCACCTAAAAAACTGCAGTTCCATAACAGCTGGTCAGTCTTCTGTACCCTGCCAGAGATCTCCTCCCTGAAACTACAGAAAATGTCAGGCACGGATATCTCTGTAAAGAGACTACCTCTGAGAGTTCTTTTAAGTAAACTTGGTCTTCAGCTAAAATGGTCTAAGTATTTATTTTAAGGGAAGTTGACGTTTAAAATTCTTGTTGTTTTTAGAAGGTTCATTTTTAAAATTGACCCAAATTATAAACTGGATATGATGTAGCATGATGCTGTACTAGTGTTTAGAATAAAACCTGCTACATAGGAAGTGATCAATAAATACATACTGAAAGAATGTTTGGAATTACCCACACTGAAAGAATGTTTGGAATTATCTACATCTTTTAGTTTTAAAGGTTTAAATAACTTAAAGTGTAATATTTTCACTCAGCTCTTTTAAGGAGATCTCCATGCCAGTTCTAATGAAAGGATACAGTGGCTTATGTAATCAGTATCCATATGTTTATCCTATTTCATGACTACTCACTTTTTATTTGACAGAGAAGAATGGTAGAATTTGAGAAATTTTGGTTCACCTAGAACTTATTTAAAAAAAAAAAATTAAGTCTTCTGACTTGTGGAGAAAATCTAGTCATCTACTTGCTCAGAATACCATCCCAATTGTGACTTGGTCAGTTTTGTAATTGATAAGTACTAAACAAGAATAAAATCCTTGGCCTACAAATTCCCCATTTCAGTATTCTATCCACCACATTTTGTTGCCGGAGTTCAGCCCAGGGAAATATATTTTTCTTCCTTTTGAAGGAGCAATCAGAACTCACTTTTTAGAAGTGGGCCAGCCAACGGCTGTTTCAGAGTGCCCTGTGCCAAGAAACTGAAAGCTATTTGGCATGCAGTTGATTGGCTGGTTTTGTGACCACTCACCTTGTTTGTACCTGGGCTACTTTCTACTCCCTGACATCTTGGCACCTTATTGCTCAAGTTTTCATTTAATTGTTAAACCCTTCCTTTTGACTTTTTACTCTTTGGGATTCCTGTTGCTTTGAAACAACCAGTGTAGTATTTGCTAATGTCAGATAGCTGTGTGTGCCTGTGTCTGGCCTCACCAGTAACCTCACTGGAGAGGTTCTGATGATCCATGCTCAGCCTCAGAACCTGAGAATTTGTTGTATAAATATCATTCATCTCGACTTTCCTTGGTAATAAAAGAGGCTTATAATTTGCTTCTGTAGCAATTTGGGCAATGCTAATGGCACGACATTTAGGCTGGATTTGGGGGTGGTGTGTGTATTGTTACTGCTTACAGAAGTCAATACATAGTGTATTAAATATAAATCTTACAGAACTTCATTCTTCGCTGACGTTACCTATTAGCTAGACTCCTGTGTTTCAGTTTATCTGGGACCTTGTTCTCTGCCATATTAAAGATTTTTATGCAGCAGTTCCTTCACAGATGTCTTCCTTTATTGCTTTGTCTGACAAGCGGAGATTTAAGAGCATACAGAACCTGAAAGCTTTTTCAATAGCATGGAAATGCAATTAATATTTCAAGTGCCCAGGTAGAAATCTAATCAGCTTGGGTTTTAAGTTTAACTTCATTTTTCTTGCTTGCTGCTATATGATAGATTAGAAATCTAGACACCACCTCTGCCCCTCTGTCTTCTGAGAGCAGGAGAAAGCCTTTGACAAACGGTGTAGCTTGTCTTGGTGTCCTCTTGGAGCAGAGAATAGGGCATCCTGAGGGGAGTTAGACTTGCTGTGTAAAATGTGATAGACAATCCTAAATGAATCCATCTGATTGTACAAGTGTGGGGATTAATTTTTTGTTTTTAATTCCTGCTGTGTGCTGGGCAGTGGGTTAGATTTACAGACATTGTGGTTTAATTTTCACAAGAACTCATGTGGCAGGTACACTTCCCATTTTATAGATGAATAAATTAAGATACTGAGAGATCTTGTCTAAGCTATTAAGTGGCGGAATTTGTATTCCACTCCAGGCCTCTGCTCCTTAGGTCAGTGTTCTTTATACTCTCTTGGGCTGCTGTGTGTGTCTTGCTTTTCTTTCAGTCTCCGTAGTTCCCGAGATTGTCTTTGGCCTGGTAGATACGCAAGAAAATTAGAAACAAAGTCCTAAAGAGGAAGATTTATAGACCTTTGGGTCTTCAAGACTAGACATTTTGGGAGAAGAGATTTTCTGAAAAACCCAACACTATGTTGCTGCCTTGTCCAGTTCTCTGGCAACATCATTCTTCTTGAAGAGCTAAGGGTGAAAGTGGTTCCATTTGAGCGCTGCTGCTATTGGAGACAGATTTGCATCTTGTGTTTAATTCCCTTTTTCCTCCTCAGATACCAATGGGGAAAACATCGCAGAGTCTCTGGTTGCAGAGGGCTTGGCCACCCGGAGAGAAGGCATGAGAGCTAATAAGTAAGTATTTATTACTCTTCTGACCCCCTCAAACTTCCTTTTCCTCCACCTTGAGAGCTGGGGTCGCTCAAAAGAGGTTGGGTAGCCAGCTCTACTGTGTCTTTGCTGCATTTTCTTTCCTGTCCCCTGGTCAACGTCTGGTGCTCTTCTGGCTTTTAGGACATTTCCTGCCCCAGTGTGGATTATTCTGAGCCAGGAGGTCACTCAAGATTCATTAGTGGCATTTGACATGTATAATTCCTTTAAATAAAGGAGTTTGAGACAAGGCACTTCCATTCTTTATATTCATAAGCGCCAACAGGCTATGTCTTACACGGTAGATATTCAGTTCCAGAGTATTTATCCATCCATCCCAAAAGATTAATTGAGCACTTACTATGTACCGGGCTGTGTTCTGGGCACTGAGAATACAGCAGTGAACAGACAGTTTCTGCTAACATTTTAATGGGGAGACAGATAAGAAACCAATAAACAAATAGATATACAATATATCATGTGCAAGAAATAAGTGCAATGAAAGATAAAGTGGAGTGAATAAATAGAATTCAAAGCAAAATCTGCTGCTTAGAATCTAGGGAAACTGACAAGGGCTCAATGGTTCTGTTTTAAAGTCAGGGAAAATTTTCTGTCTCTCCAAAGCCTTTTAAGCCTGTTTTGGTCTATGGATCTGTAGATGCTTAAATAGTAGGTAAAAATGTATTTGTTTAGCTAATGGCAGTGTGAACGTAATGGGAATGAGTATTAGTTATGTAAGCTTTTTTTTTTTTTTTCCTTAAAGGTTTTATTTTTTTGACAGAGAGAAAGACAGCCAGAGAGGGAACACAAGCAGGGGGAGTGGGAGAGGGAGAAGCAGGCTTCCTGCGGAGCAGGGAGCCTGATACGGGGCTCGATCCCAGGACCCTGGGATCATGACCTGAGCTGAAGGCAGACGCTTAACGACTGAGCCACCCAGGCGCCCCAGTTATGTAAGCTTTATAGCACATATATCATGTTCAAGTTCACCAGTGTTGGCTCACAGTAGGATGGATTGCAGCTGGCTTTAATTAACACTTTAGTCTCTGAAAAGTGATATGTTACATCAGTAATTTGGAGGCTAAAGATGCTGTTTAAATCATTAAGTCCTTGCTATATTATATGACTGTTGTTGGTGTACAAAAGGCTTTAGGTAAATATTTGCATGAACTATACCAGTGATGGGGATGAGCAAAGGCAAGAATGTACTTTTTGCATTCTTCCTGCCTTCGTAGACTTTGAGGCCAACTCATTCACCGTATACGTCTGTGGGTCCTTTCTAACTGCAAAGAAACATTTGTTGGAGCCTATAATTGGGGGGTGAGCATGTTGGGAATTTAATTGAATAAAGACATTTGTCTTAAGTGGCATTTTTGGAGGCTGAAGTTGTATCTTAAGGAGAATTGTTGACATGATTATCATTGCAGTATTTTTTGGGAATCCAGTTTGCAACCAGACTGAAAATTTTTAAAAAGCTCATAGCTCTATTGTACCATCTCAACAAAGAAATCTCCCCTGGAGTCCCAGTCTTTTTTCTTTAAAGCTGTCTTGACTTCTCCTTTCCTCAGATTCTATGTTTGCTTCTATCTCTTAAGTTACATTTTTTATTGAATTCTGGTTGCAGTCTTGGGTCCCCAAAGATGTGACTATCTTCTTTGGGAAGGAGGGGGAAAGAACAGTACTGAAGACTTCTGGCTTGAGAAATTGTAGATCAGGGATCTCTGTTCCCATATCCCTACTGCTAGGTGGGAGATTCAATTTATGTATATAGCCTTTGATGGAACCGGGTGTTGAGATTGTGGAAAGGCCTTGGAGTTCAGTATTCCCTTTAGCTCAGGGGTGTGTTTTTGGGGGGGGCGGCGAAAGGGGGAACCATTTCTGGTTTTGTTTTTAGGTCTATCTTCTGGTTTTCTGACTGTTCTCATATATATTTGGTTTCCTGCTTCATGAAGGAGGAGTCTTCCATTTTCAAATGGAAGCTTTTCAAACTGCTTTTGCCTAGCTGGTCTTATTGAATGTGTAAGTAGTTTTGGGGTGACATCTGTAATAATAGTATTTGCTCTGTATTCCCCAGCCCTGTTCTGTAGACAATAGGGAATAAGGGTGGTTCTTAGTCACTTTCCTTGTGCTGTGTCGTGCTAAGCTCTTCCTGGATTCCAGTTCCTGAGTCTCGGATGGTTAAATGAGGCTATGCCCCCTGGAGAGGCTTCCCTCTGAGCCACCAACTTGTCCTCTTGTAATCACTGATGGTGGTAGTACTGAGATATGTGTTCTTTGCATTTTCTCATTAAATGCTCTTAAGAGCGAATCTGTTGTTTTGAGGGAACAAGACTGGAATCAGAAATTACACTCATGGTGATTTTCTGGTTATAGGCTTGGGTTTGTAGCCATAGATCTTCTGAAACAAAAGCTTTGGTTTCTTCAAGGGGAGCAGATGCTGAGTTCAAAGAAGAGCCTGATTTTTTTTTTCCCCTGTTGTGAACTCATCACACGTGTTTCTTTTTCATGTCCCAGTCCTGAGCAGAACCGGCTCTCAGAATGTGAGGAACAAGCGAAGGCAGCTAAGAAGGGAACGTGGAGTGAGGGAAACGGTTCACATACTATCCGGGACCTCAAGTACACCATTGAGAACCCAAGGCACTTTGTGGACTCACACCATCAGAAACCTGTCAATGGTGAGGCTGGTGGGAAAAGACAGACAAGATGCAGAGTGATTTCTGTTTGCTTTCAAGTTTCTTGAGGTTTATAAAAGCTATTTTACTTGGTATCCGAAGGAAATTGTTAAGAGTGCAGTAGCACTGTGGTATTTTGGAAGGTAACTTGAATCCAGTTCATGTAGGTTACATCAGATGTATTTTGACAGAGGTTAATCCTTTGCTGGTGCAGGGTAGTAGATTGCTGGTAATTTTCCACATTGGGTATCTTGCTGCTTTCTAAAAGCTGCTGCTTAAGTAACATCCCTGAAATTATATTCTGTATGTAAGTAAACACACAAACACACACACATGCATACACTCATTCACACTGTAGTTCTTGGCCCAGTTTTGAGACCTTGTTAACTACAGACTGAGTAAAATAAGATTATTACCAAATCTGAATTATTACTTATTTTTTGCTACACACTTGGTACTCAAGTGGTGAGCCCCCTAGCTTACGGATAACAAAGCTTAAGTATGAGCCACGAGATCCCCGAAAGTAGAGAAGACCTAGAAGTGAGTCTAATCTGTATTCCCAGGAATAGTTTGTAGAAGAGTCTGTTGTATGGATACTTGTGATCTTCCAGTGTTTTGTCACTTCTCAGAGGGAGGCTTTCTGGGGGTTTTGGGGAGATGAACTGTGTTAAATGCAGTTTGGTTGGGCATTGTTTATCCCTGGCACAACTTTTGCTAATGACTTAAGCTGTTTATTCTGTCACACAGCTATCATCGAGCATGTGCGGGACGGCAGTGTGGTCAGGGCCCTGCTCCTTCCAGATTACTACCTGGTTACGGTCATGCTGTCAGGGATCAAGGTCAGACCATAGAGTGGGCTATAGGGTTGATATAGGGTTTGTGGAAGCGTTCAGTGACAGGTAGATTCTTCTACTCTGGGACTCTGGATTTACTGATTCTTCCTAATATGGGCCATTAGCATTGACTAGAGTACTTTATACTGTAAACTTTGCAGTGGGACTATTCTCATTAGATCAAATAAGATTTAAAAAAAAATCTTTTAAAGTACTTAGGGTTTGTTTCGAGTGGGCTGTGGTGAAGAGGTGGTTGAGACACAGAAAGCAAACTTCAGAGCTTCCTGTCTCTCCTGAGAATGGCTTGTCTCAATGTAAAATATCCATTTTGATTAAAAAAAAAAAAGATTGGGGATTTAAAACTAGGCATTTGTGACTCTTTTCTTGGCAAGGGGTAATTTTCAAATATAATTTAAAATTGCCGCATGATAGTGACATGAGTTTTATTTACCTTCCCAAGAAGTCTGACAATTTGCTATTTCTAGTCCCTTTTACCAGTATGTTTTAAAAAGGGGTTAGAAGGCCTGATTTGAGACCTTCCTTAGCTTAGCTTTGTGGTATTTGCGGTTTGGGGTGGTTTGGGGTGGTTTGGTGCGGTGTGAGGAGTGCCTGGCACTCACATTGAGGCTGCATTACCCACCTACCTTACTCTTGCTTTAGTGCCCAACTTTTCGGCGGGAAGCAGATGGCAGTGAAACACCAGAGCCTTTTGCTGCAGAAGCCAAATTTTTCACTGAGTCTCGACTGCTTCAGAGAGATGTTCAGATCATTCTGGAGAGCTGCCACAACCAGAACATTCTGGGCACCATCCTTCATCCAGTGAGTGTGCCCATGCAGACTGGGCTGTGTGAGGTTAGGGGTGCATTTGGTGTTTGATGGGCTGTGGTTTGTTTCTCTTCTCTCTCTCTCTATTTAAGAACCATTTATATATCTTGGTAGGATTATCATCTGATTTTTGAGGCATTTTCTAGGGAGACATCAGTTAACTGATAGAATTGGACAGATCTTACTCACTTTTAGAAAATGAACCTCAACTTTTGAGTTTGTAAGGGGAGGAGGAACTCCTGTTTCCTCAAGTGTTGGCCCTTGAGGTTCAGAATAGGCAAGTTGAAGGGCTGCCCCATAGATGAGTGGTGGCACTGAACTGTGTAGAACAAGATTGCTGAGGTTTGTATGTAGCTCTAGAGGGAGCTCTTTAAAGTACTGGTGGAACTAGGGGCGCCTGGGTGGCTCAGTCAGTTAGGTGTCTGACTCTTGGTTTCGGCTCAGATCATGATCTCATGGGTCCCGAGATCAAGCCCCTTGTTTGGCTTCCTGCTCATCGGGAAGTCGGCTTGGGATTCTCCCCTCTCCTTCTGCCCCTTCCCCTGCGTGCTCTCTTGCTCTCTCTCTCTCCAATAAATCTTTACTATTTATTTTTTGAATTCTATCAAATATTTATGTATTTATTTTTTAAATATTTTTAAAATTTTAATTCAGTTCACATATAATTCAAATAAGTGTTTCAAAAAATAAAGTATTGGGGTGCCTGGATGGCTCAGTTGTTAAGTGGCTGCCTTCGGCTCAGGTCATGATCCCAGGGTCCTGGGATCGAGCCCCGCATCGGGCTCCCTGCTCCTTGGGAAACCTGCTTCTCCCTTTCCCACTGCCCCTGCTTGTGTTCCCTCTCTCACTGTGTCTCTCTCTGTCAAATAAATAAATAAAATCTTAAAAAAAAAAAATAATAAAGTATTGGTAGAACTATGATGAGGAAACCTTTTTATGGAAAAATTACTTTGTGTTCTCCAGGCCTTATCCACTTACCTCCTAACTCTGCTTTTGAGCAGGAAATAGGTTCTTTATGTTCTTCTAATTGTGACTATCAGTTCTTCCCAGGCGTAGACTTTGGTAGGTGGGTTCCTCCTGGAAAGGAAGTGACGTTGTTTTGTACCACCCAAGTGCAAGTGAATTTTCATTATTGTAACCTATATCTGGTACATATTAAACTACTGTTACTTATTCTTTGGCTAGAGAATTCTTTCATGATGGCTGTTGTGGAAGGCTGGGAGGCTTGGTTTGGAATGTGCCAAGGTCATGTCTATTTCTTCTGGAGGACTAGCTGTCTGCCTGTGCCCTACCAGATGGCTCTGTGTCACAGTAGAATGGGAATTGTAATTCACTGGGGAAAATGTAGCTGAAGTTATTCCCTTACTCAGCCCGTTCTTTAGCTTTCTCCGTATGAAAAGGGGAGTAAGTGCTGATCTTAGGGAAGGAAATAATAAGGTGTAATCTCTACTAAAGATTAACATCCTCCTCTGCCCACAAGAAGAGCTATTGAAATGTCAATTCCATTCAATGCCACTAACATTTATCCTACTCCTGTTAAGTGAGAGTTACTGTGCTGGGTGTTGTGGGGATGGGAAGCCAAGGCTGTTAGGAGTTGCTGCAGAGTGGTGTCTCCCATCTCAGAGCTGGTTTCTTAATGAGAGAAGTGCCTTTATTTATTTATTCCTTCCTTCCTTCCTTCCCCCCTTCCCCCCCCTTTTTTTAATATGAACTGCAGTATGGATTGTGGCTGTTGATTGTGTCGAAAGTCCAGAGAAATGGATTCTCTTGTGCCTGCCTTCTCATGTGCCTTGTTTTTCAGAATGGCAACATCACAGAGCTCCTCCTGAAGGAAGGTTTTGCTCGCTGTGTGGATTGGTCGATTGCAGTTTATACTCGGGGTGCAGAAAAGCTGAGGGCAGCTGAGAGGTAAGGTCTGTCAGGGAAGGCTTCCAGCCAAAGATCTTGTTTAGGATCTTCAGGGAAAGAAATCTTGTGATCTTCTCTCACCTATCTATGTCAGTATTTGTTGTATTTCAGTAAAGGATTAAGGAAGTTCCAAAAGAGGCTAAGATCTCATAGAGGAGTTGCTTACTTAGAAGTCTTTGGGTTTTCTGATTCACTGCTCTACAGTAAGGGCTAGATTTTCATTCAGAAATTGTTCTTCACCAGATTTGCTGCTTTAATGTTTTGGGGTGACTTTTTTTTTCCCCAAGCCCCTCATTGAAATTCTGAGTTTTAGGCATTTGGAATGAAAGAAACTTGAGGCTCATTTGAGGATGATATAATCACTTACCAGCTACTACCAAACAGGTAGGCTGGAGCCAGGGGTATGATGGAAAGATAGAGCCTGTAGGTCCTAAAACAGGACTATTCAATGTTATCGTGAGGCCTCTTGCCCTCATCTGTTGAAGCATATTTTAATTAAAAATGTTATCGTAACTGTGAGGTGGTGGTGTCATGTTTTTAGCTAGGTCCCTTGTGGTTAAAGACTATGTAGAAAATAACTTATTTCTAGAAAAACAGTAGTTGGATATTCCAAAGATTGGGTGGGTATTTCAAGTGTCAAGGTCAAGAATATCCAGGTGTAGGTGAACTTCTTTCACTTGATGGGGTAAATGGAAGAAAATGAAGCAGGCAGCAAGAGTAGATGAATAGAGATGATGCTTGGGGAGAGCCCCAACCACCATCTCCCAGGATACATTTACGCAGAAGACCCACCAACCACTGATGACAATGATCCACTCTCAAGGGGTGTTGTATGACTTATTTCAGAATCATAAAGTTATAATGGTCTTGACAACTTCACATTTTTGGCCTTTGAGGCACACAGCTAAGAGATGTGCAAGAACATGAACTGGAGGAGTATAGTTTTCTTCCCTGAGTCTTTCACATCCTTCTGTGCCTATAAGCAGAAAGACTTGCAACTTTTTTTATAAAAGTAGATTTTAATCTGGGCCATCAGATATGGCGTATCTGATTAAAAAAATTGTATAAAATTTTTTAGTCTTTATGTTCCACAATTAAATTCAAAATATAAAATACTCTTATCAAATACAGTGTTCCAAATACCTCTAATTATTCTGTGATGCTCAAAATTTTTTTGTTCAGAAAATCCTATAAGTCCATTATTCTAAATATAATTTTGGTTGATAATTCTTTTTGCGTTCTTTAAGTTCCTGCTTCTCTTTGAAGAAAGTGAGTACAATGGCAGTAGTATCTACATGTTTTATAACATCTATAGATTTTATGGGATTTTAAACACAGGTTTAGAGCAAGGAATGCAAATCATATTTCAATAATACGTGATTATTTGCCTGCTCTTTTGCATGCAGTATTTGACTTGCTTGCATTGTTAAATCTGTCAGAGAATTTTATGTATTTTATAACTACTACATGCTACTTTGTCTCTTTATCATTTTAGTGCTTCTTTTACAAAAAGGTTGCAATACTGTTTCCAAAAATAAGAGTTCCTTTCCCTTGCACATGTATCCATTTATTTGTAAAGACTTTTGTAAATACAAAACACAAAAAGTATATTTGAAAACATAGCTGTTCACTGGTTTTTTAAAATCTTTGCACATATTCCATTTCGCTCTCTTAGCCTGACTGAAAAAATTCCTAGTGGTTTTGGTACTGTAAAACGAATGTCTGCCAACACCATTTTTTCACTTTTGTCGTTGAACTTCTATTGGATTTTTGTCCCTTTTCTTCTTTAGATGCACTACAGAGACCATTTTGTTCTGTTTTTCACATAAGATTTGGTTAGCTGATAATCTTTTTTTTTATTCAAATGGAAATTGAGCAGGCCTGTGTTTTTAAAAAAATGTATTTGTTTGTTTAGATGTGGGTGTTCTTCCCACTTCAGAGAGCAGTTGCTCTGTGTTTGTCATTCCAGCGCCTGGCAGTTAGTAGTCCCTCAGGAGAGACTGGATAAGCTAACGAGCTAATTCAAGATGGGCTTGTACTGTCTGGGCTCGAAAAAGTGCACACCTAGACCCCAGTCTGCCAGCCAAGGGTGTGTGGACAGTCTTGGACAGTCCAGTTGCTGTACACTCCTTCCTGTGGCTTTCACACTTCGCTCTGCTTTCACAGGTGGCCTTTCCCTTGGGTGTCTTGTCTATGAGGTAGAGTAGGATCCTGTACTGTTTGCTCCCATGGTGATGGTGGGTTCCATTTGCTGACCTATTCTGTCGGAATGATTTGCATCCTTGATTTTGTTGCCAGGTTTGCCAAGGAACGCAGGCTGAGAATATGGAGAGACTATGTGGCTCCCACTGCTAATTTGGACCAGAAGGACAAGCAGTTTGTTGCCAAGGTGAGTCATTCTTGGCATCTTAAGATGCATGGTGGACATTGTCAGCTGGTGGTAGTACAAACATCTGAACAATCAATCCAGAGCTGAACCATTTCTATTTTAGGGCAAGCGAGTGGTGTGTGCATGTATGTGCAGTGATTGCCTGTGTGTGTGTGTTTATTGCAGGGGACTTAGAAACCGTAAGAGCTTTCTTGTCATAAATTTGCATAACTTCATTTAGAAGTTCGTGAGTTAAAGTTGTGGACATTGCCATCTTGGAATCTCTCTCCTATTTTAGGACTTCTTTCTGTCTGCCTGACAAATGGCTTTCTCTTAGATTTCCTATGTCAAATCAACCTTCTCTTCTTTCTATTTTGGGACTCTCGTTGGTTTTGAGTTTTTTCTCATGTGCTGTGTTTTTCTGAGAGCTCTCCTGAAGTATCCTGGGTTGGATTCCTTTGACAGGAACTAGTGCTGTTTGATTGTTTGGGTCCAGCAACAGTGCTGTGTTTTTTCTTAGTTGCTGGGTTTGGTACCTTGAGTGGTAGACCTGTTTTCCTCACTTTCCCAGAATGCTGTGATGTTTTCCAGTCTGTTTTTACTTTTGGCAAGAGATGCTGGAAGCTTTGTTTTTATGAACTAAAAGAGGTTAATGAACATATCTGTATCCCCTTAGAGGTGGCTGCCCCAAATGAGTTTAAGATGGAAAGCCACTAGGTGGCACTATCAGCCTGAAAAATCCTGGGCCAGTTTCTTTTAGAATTGTAAAATTTTAACAGTCTCTGAGGAATTGGCTGAATTTCTTCACTTTCTTTTTTATGATGCCCAAAACAATAAGTCACAGAGTGCTCAAGTGTCTTCTCTCCCTCTTGTAGTAGGTGGTCTCCAAGCAGCTGTCAAGTTAGCCATAATTGGGTCTTTTAGTGGACATTAGTGGGAATAGTCCCTGGTTGGATAACCCCCCATGCTTCTTCCAAGTCTTGGCACAGACCAGAATGCAACCCTGCTTCCTTTCTGTGTGAGGACTGTACTAGCTTGGAAACTTGGACACGGTTGTTCTACCTAACTGGAACTTACTGCTTATGTTTCCTGTATAGCCACACAGTGAAGGGATGATCATTCACTCAGCAAGGGAGTCAGTCCTTCCGGTTTTCACCATCACTGGGAGAGGCTGTGATATTAGTGATGTAGATGAGGCTTATCTTGTACTGTCCCTTCTGGCCCCTCTTCAGTTGAAACGGAGTTTAGAGAGAAACCCAGAAGATTTTGAAGGATTTTGGGCCTTTGCTGGTTGGGGAACTTTAATGCATTGCTAATGCATTGCTGAAGGAAGAAATTTGAAAGATGAGATGATTGAGTCAGTAGCTTTGTATTTTTCTTAACTATGACTTCATTGATAACTAGGAGAGAGCTGGCATCTTTCCTCTTTAAATCTAGGATTCCAGGATACGATTGTTGTGTTTTAAGACAGAGTGAGGCTTTTTTCATTACAATGAAGTTTTGTTTGTTAAAATGGCGGAATAGAGGAAATTGCCTCTAAAAACCATCTGAGGATTATGGGGAATAGCCATTCTCCTCTAGTATCTTTAATATAAATTGAGGTCATTTGGGATATAGGCCTGCTCAGAGAGTAGAGAGATGTATTTATAGGTAGATAAATGGTTTTAAAGCTTCTTGAGCTTTAGATATTCTTCAGCATTATTATTATTTTTTTAAATAGGAGAAAAGCATAAAAAGGAGAAGAAAAACCTCTCATACTAGATGAAACTATCACACAGCATTTTTTTTTTTTAATTTATCATACCGTCTATCCCAGGGCTGGCAGACTGTGGCCCATGGGCCAAGTCTGGCCCACTACTTGTTTTGTATGGCAAAGTATGGATGGGTTTTATATAGAAAATTTTGTGGCACATGAAAATGATACAACATTTTAATATCAGTGCCATAAATACATTGGATCATGGCCACATTTGTTTACAGGTTGTCAGTAGCTGTTTTGTGATACAGTGGCAGAGGTGAGTAGTTGTGACAGAGACCATATAGCCTGCAAAGCCTAGGATGTTTGCTATCTGGCCCTGTACAGAAAAGTGTGCTGACCCTTGATCTCTATCAGTCCTACTCAGAGTGCCTTGATAGAATATAAGGAGCTTGAGCCAGAATGTAACTCAAGGCATTGCTTCTTTCATCAAGAAAAACTTGCGGGGCACTTGGTGGCTCAGTCGTTAAGCGTCTGCCTTCGGCTCAGTTTCATGATCCCAGGGTCCTGGGATCGAGCCCCACATAGAGCCCCGCATCGGGCTCCCTGCTCTGCGGGAGGCGTGCTTCTCCCTCTCCCACTGCCCCTGCTTGTGTTCCCTCTCTCGCTATCTCTCTCTCTGTCAAATAAATAAATAAAATCTTAAAAAAAAACAACAAAACTTGCTACAGAAAAAATGTCAGCAGTGTTCTCAGTGATGTAGTTGATTTATGTTCTGGTACAAGCTCCATCTCTCATTGCAGACTGGTAGCCACTTTTGAGTAGTACTGAGCTGTATTCTTTTGTATATAATTTTTTCAAGTTTGTAAGTTTTTATTTTTAATGCATAAAAATTTAAAGAACTCCATGGGCTTATTAAGAAATGTACTAGTCCCATTTTCCCAGTCCCTTGAGGCAGCCATTTTCAATTCTTGGCTGATCCATATCTTTGAATAAAATGTTTTTATTGCTCTTTGTTAACTTTTCAGTGTCAGGTATGACCCTTTTCCTTCATACCATTGAAGGTGAGGATTCACATGGGTGTGCATGTCTTTTTCCCTAATCCTTCCAATAGGACTGTATCCTAATTCTGGTTCAGTCTTTACTTTGTAAATGCTAATTACCACTGAGCCATATGATATATTATGATTACGTTTCATTTTCTGCAGAACTTTTTGTTTACCCTGGACTTAATAATTTTAAAGGTTTATGTATTTTTTTATGTACTTATTAATTTGACCCCCAGACTCTACCTGTCTAAATCTCCTCTTAAGACATTGATTCAGCCTGTTAATTTTATCTTTTTCAGTAATACTCTCCAGGAGCCTTGTGACCTGTACCAGTCTGGACTAGTTCTTTTGTTCTTCTTTTTTCATTGTTATAAAGCTGTCACCTTTGGATATCTTCACCATTTTCCTGCGGTTTTCTTTGCCTTACTCTGGGTTGGAGCTATAGTTTGCTGGATCCCTTGGCTTCTTTATAATTTTACTACTTTAGTTCGGTGGCACGCATTCTCTAGCTTCTTGGGAAGAGTGCTTGTCAGGGAAATGTTTTGAGACTTTTCATGTCTATTTTGTAATTCCACTCGATCTGTAGTTTAGCTGGATATAGAATTTTATGTTAGAAGTTATTTTCCTTCATAATTGTGAAGGCATTGCTCCACTGTCATTTAACTATTGGAGATTTTTTTCTCTTTTCTGTTTGTTTTTTTTTTTTCTTTTTAAGAGGTCTGATAACATTTTGATTCCTCATCCTTAATATGATTTTTCTTTCTGTGAAGTCTTCATATTCTTTTTTATCCTGAAATTTCCAGTGGTGCACTGTGTTTATCCATGTTAGTTCTTTGTGTCTGGGAGCTTCAGCTATTTTTTGTTGTTGATTTCCAGCAAGTTTCTCTGCTATTTTCTAGCAGGTGTTTGACTTTGTTGACTGGTATTCTCTAATTTTTTCCTCCTATTTTTCATCTGTCTCTTGTTCTTTCTGAATTCTTTTATATTTACCTTTTGGCCCTGCTACTGAATATTTCATTTATGATACTGTATTTTAAGAGCTTGTTTTTTTGTTGTTGTTGTTCTCTGAATGGTTCTTTTATTTTTATTAAAATGTAGTTGGCATACAGTATTACATTAGTTTCAGATGTATAACATAGTGATTTGATGATTCTATACATTATATAGAGCTTACCATGATAAGAGTAGTTACCATCCATCATCATACGAAGTTATTACACTATCATTGACTATATTTCCTATGCTGTACTTTTCATCTTCGTTATTTATTTTATAACCTCTTCACCTATTTTGCCTTCATCCCCCCACCCCTCTGGCAATCACCAACTTGTTTTCTGTATTTATGAGTCTTTCTGTTTTATTTGTTTGTTCACCTGTTGTGTTTTTTTGTTTTTTGTTTTTTTAAGATTCCATGTGTAAGTGAAATCCTGTGGCATTTGTCTTTTTCTGAGTTATTTCACTTAGCATGATATCCCCTAGGTTCATCCATGTTGTTGTGAATGGCATGATTTCACTCTTAACAACTGAGGCTCCCAGGCACCCCGGCATGATTTCACTCTTTAAGGTGGAGTACTATTCCTGTGTGTGTGTGTGTGTGTGTGTGTGTACACACACACCATATCTTCTTTACACATTCATCTATCAGTGGTTAGGTTGCTTCCATATCTTGGCTATTATAAAGCTGCAATAAACATGGGGGTGCATATATCTTTTCAGATTAGTGTTTTTGTTTTCTTTGAATATACTCAGAGGTGTAATTACTGGGTTGTATGGTATTTCTGTTTTTTATTTATTTATTTATTTTTTAAGCAACCAACCTGTTTTCTGCAGTGGCTGCACCAGTTTATATTTCCACTAGTAAAGCATGAGGGTTCCCTTTCCTCTGCATCCTCACCAACACTTCTTATTTCTTGTCTTTTTGACACTAGCCATTCTGACAGGTGTGAGGTGATATCTCATTGTGGTTTTGATTTGCATTTTCCTGTGATGAGTGAGGTTGAGCATCTTTTCATGCGTCTATTGGCCATCTGTATGTCTTCTTTGGAGAAATGCCTGTTCAAGTCCTCTGTCCGTTTTTAAATTGGATTGTTTTTTGATGTTGTTCCGTTGAGTTCTTTATATATTTTGGATATTAGCCCCTTATCAGCAGATACTTCATTTGCAAATATCTTCTGTTCAGTAGGTTACCTTTTCATTTTTGATTTCCTTTGCTGTGCAAAAGCTTTATAGCTTGATGTCATCCCAATAGTTTATGGTTTACTTTTTGTTTCCCTTGC